GGTCCTCTGTTTATAAGGTAATGAGAGTGCTTATGGTTCACCCCGGGTAACTGAGGTCAGACTAATCTATGTCTAGATTTTGGGGGGGCCGTGTAAAATGATATGGATCACTGGCAAAATTAAATAACCTTTAGGGTGAAAAAAGGCACAGGTGGCAAAACACTAATCGCCTGTGATGTCCTGCTCTTTCTGAACAAGTGCAGGACTCACAGTGTGGTGTGTCTGTAGTCAGATGTCATTCAACAAGCTTGTATTTTGTGTGTGTGAGTGTGTGTGAGTGTGTGTGTGTGTGTGTGTGTGTGTGTGTGTGTGTGTGTGTGTGTGTGTGTGTGGGTGTGTGTGTGGGTGTGTGTGTGTGTTGTGTGTGTGTGTGGACATGTGACTGTGCAAACTCTGCTCATTGATATTCTTGTAGAAGAGTGTCATGAAGGCTTCTGGGATATCTTTCCGCCTTGTTCTCTCGCTCATGAATATGAATGAAATCCACATGTGTTTTGAATTTTTTTGCTGATTTGCATGAAGTTCATGAGCAGCTAACAAGCTTGCGCAGGAATTTATTCTTAGCTGTTGTTATGAAAGGTGCTACGACTCTGTGTGTCATTGCTCAGCATGCTCTTGTTTTGTGTTCTGAATATTATAAAGAGTTTCATCTCTAATTACCCATGCTTAATCTTTTGGATAGTAGTTAAATGCTAAAACATCAAAGAAAAATTCATGTCACGCTCTTAAACTGTCCCCTAGTGTGACGGTGTGGAGAGTGATCTAGATCTGAGCTGTTTCTGCTGTTCAAACAGTGTGAGAGGAGCTGAGGTAGACTGTTAAATAGCTTTCAGGGAATCAATGCCAGATATTGACTGAGACGGTTGTTAAAATCTAGACAAAGCTGTTTGGAAAGAATTATATCCTTTTCGATTTAAGCATTAGCAGAGGCTAGAGTTTATTACCATGCTTCATAGACACTGCATCTATTAAAAGTGTTACTTTTACCTCAAGCAACTTCAACAGTTACCTTTTTGGAAAGGTGTGTCAAAGTTTTGCTATTGCTACATAGCCAGTGTTAGCATTAACATCTGTTTACTATCCAGTCTAAAAGAAACTTTGCGAGTTCATCAAACTTCATTCCTTTACTCGCCAAGAGCTGTCTCCAGCAGGGGAAAGCAAAGTCAGTGTTAACTCTTGTCTTTACACGTCTTTTCTTCTACTGAAGTTAGCACGCTAACCTAACGCTAGCCCTGGCCCGTCTCGTCACTTTCCAATAGCAGCTGTAGCCTCCAACGTAGCGCTGCTCCAAGGGCGTAATATAACCCTCTGTATTGCAAACACAACGATAGCCAAAGAACTTGTCAAGCAAGAATGACCACCACCCGCTCACGGCAGGAAACCCTGTTTGGCAGCAGGGAAAAGTAACAACTAGCCCCTTTAACCATTGCCACAACATGCCATCAGACAAAAAGGCAGCACTATTCCAACTGGAACATAACACTTCAAAGCAGGCAGTGAAAAGCAAATGCTTCAGCACTAACCAATAGCTTTAATATGCGATTTCAACTATTAGCATTTAGGTTTATTGTAACTCCAGCTAGATCACATACACAAAAATCTATATCTGGTGTGTGATAAGAATGTAATGACCCTATATGTTCACATATCTGAATTGTATCTCTGAGACCCTCCATACCAAATGCTTGACAGATTTTGTCCACCCAGAATATAAATCATGTCGTTGCTTTGAGGTTATTTCATTGCTTTAGCGCACTGACCTTCAGCCGAGTGTCTTTTCTTGACATGTTGTTTCAACTTGTAGACAGGTCATATCATTACCATCTCAGTTCTCACTGGGTCTGCCTGTTTTCATGTCCAAATGTGTCAAAATATAAAAGGTTAACAAAGGGACAACATAAGAAATCAACCATTTTAAATTGAATCAATTTGTAAAAATGGAAAATGCAAGATAATACTGTAATTGTGTTTTAAAGTCCTTTAATCTGCAAAGTAACCAAAGATGACTTTTTAGATGTGTTTATTTAATGATATAATGAGACAAAGAACAATAAGGTAGAATATTATGGGGCTAAAAAGCATTTCCCTGAATGCTAATTTAATAAAGATGCAGTTTAGTGAAAACCTCAGAACTCAGAACTCAGATATGGATTCAGTTTCCATGGGACGATGTTGCCTCTTTCATGATCTTCTGGAGACGGACGTAGATGTTTGTTTTCTCACGATTGTTCAACCAACCCTGGTTATTTTGCTAAGCTGCTTATTTGCTATAAGTGCCTTCTGTCCTCATGGGGATGTTATTGTGACATGAAATATTGGGTCACACAGGAAACCGTCCTCAGACCAGCTCTCTCAGGGTGTCCAAGCTGTAGCCTCTCCCACCCACAAACACCACCACAACACACAGTGTGCTGAAATGTAAAAAAATAGATCCATACTGTGGAAATAACTATCCACAGTTTGGTATGTTTTACAGTACAGTTGGTTTTGCTTAAAATCAAAACAGTACAGTACGTCCGTGGTTAGCGGGTCCACAACTACACTACACACTACAGCTGAAGCTTGAAGTGTAGCTAATGTGTGCCTCCTAAAAAATATAATTACACCAGCTGCTATGGTTGGTGATATCACGTGGAGACAGCAGGGACTAAACTAAAATCAGAAACTTGTGACTGTTGATAGTGGAGAATGGAGATAATGTTAAATAAGGTGAAGAAAGATTCAGAAGCCTCTAGTGAGGCTAAACTGGGACACATTAAAGGGACACATTATAACTGATTAAGAAAACCAGGTTTCTCCCCAATAGAAAATGAAAAAGAAATGTGTTGGCATTTGTGATGAAAGTGTTTAATCTGTGCCAGCTCTGCTTATATTTCACTTTCTTCTTTGTTCTTGTTGATATTTTAAAGATGGATATATTGATTGTCATCCCCTCCCTTACACAAGGAGCCTGTAGACACATGTACACAAACACACACTCTATGCTTGGTACGCGTGGTATACACAGTGGTATGTACATGAATGTCTGTCAGTTATGCTAATCACACAATATCACAAATGCAGGCCTCTCTCTCTTTCTCACACACACACACACACACACACACACACACACACACACACGCACACGCACACACACACACAGTGTATTTAGATGCATATACACAAACAAACAAACATAGCTTGCTCTCATCTCACTGAGAGCCTCCTGAGTGGTGACTGTTCCTCCTCTACAGTAACCACATCCGCAGGAGCCACAGAGTTGAGTGTCATTAAAGATGCGAAATGAAATAGTTTCAGGTTAATGTTCTGCAGTGAGAGCCTCGAGTACAGTGACAGAGGTCCTTATTGCCCCTCTGTAGGTAGTAAATATTCAGTGAGTGAAAACACACGCGTCTGCTCTGTTTATCCTGTACCCATCAAAAATGACTTTTAAAGGAGTCGACAGCACACACGGTAGACGCATTGCATCGCAGTGGTGCTGAGTCAGTGATTTATGTTGTTCTACCAAGATTATATGTCTGTGATGATGTTATTGAAAAAGCACAATCGTATTTATAGCTGGGTCACTGGATTCATAAATACAACTCGAAGTAGTAGCAAATGGAGAAACTGAAACTGAGAGATCCTTGGTTTTCAGAGAGTAACACTGCACTACACTCACTCTGATCCAAGTTACTAATGGAGCCTTTAAGAGAGGGAGAGCTCATAAATCAATCAGTCTGTCCTCAGAAAACAGGTTCTGCTTTTCTTACTTTTCCACAACATTCATTCACATTATTTCCTTGTGTTTCTTTTATCTATTTATTTTTTCCTCCTAATCTATGGTGTTTCAGAGCAGGGTTTTCTTTCGCTTCAGAATGAATCAGTAACGTTAGCTATGCCTTAGCTTTTTAACCTTAATTTTGTCCAGTGTATGAGTAAATAGCTGCAAAACTAATGACATTCCCATCAGCCACAAAATGGTGAACATGCTAAACACTGAATTGATAAATTACATCATTTGTGTTTGAACGCTGGTGAGCAGATGAGGGAGAGCTTCCATGAGATGAAATTACCAGACAGGCCCATAGGAATCATCAGAACTGCTCCTGAATAAAAGCTGTAAAGCATTAGAGAGTAATCTTTCTTCAGTGACTCTATCAAAGTGAGTGAGACTGCGGTAACTTCATGGTGTAATTGGATTTCTTTTTTAATCACCTCCTGTTTGAAAGCGACACCTGGTAGCACTTTTCCTCAGAGCTGAGTGTAAACGAGGGATGAATAATGGTTCATGATGATGTGACTTGTGCTGATAAAATATTGCATCAATACGCTATCATGGCGATGGGATTGGAAAGACTTCACACAGATGTTGGAAGAAATGATGGAACAGATTTAAAAGGAAAGCTCATTATTTTGTTGCTTCACATTGTCTCATCAAGTTGTTTTCTCTCACCCTCAAAAATGCATACACAAACCTTTTGAATAAAGATTAATTGTATGGCCCATTTGAAATGACAGAAAGTCTGAGTGTAGATGTGTTGATTATATTGGAAAATTTGAGTGTTGGATAGAAAAGAAACAAGTAAGCAGGAAAGAAAATGACAAGGCAGAAAAGTAAAAGAGTGAAGCTAGTGCAGGTATTTTGTCGCCAATTAGGGATTCAAAAACTAAATTGGAAATTCTGGGCATTCAGCATAGTCAACCTGATGGGGGATTTTAAGTGTAATTCACAAGAGTGTCGTTGGACATGAACGAACAAGTAACAACAGTGTGTGTGTGTGTGTGTGTGTGTGTGTGTACGTGTGTAGTCCGGCCACATTAATCTTCATGGAGATGTTTTCCACATAAACACAATTGTAAAAACAGACCGAATCACTGGATCACAACAAATTCTGCATGAATCTTATGTGTCAAACATTATAGCCTACACATTATGTGAAAATCTGGGACCTGGTACGTGAATGTTAAAGTGTCTTGGATTTTTATTCTTACATGCGTGTCTGTTTGGTGTGTTACAGAAAGAAATGTTGCAAGGGCTTCAAGTTTGTGTTGGGCCAGTGTATTCCTGAAGGTAGGAAAAACTGTTTGGATATCTTGTGAGTAGTGTCTTGTGTGTTTCTGATTATTTTGGAATTCTCTCCCATCATGTTCCATAAGATTTTTTGTCTTTTAATGTACTTGACTCAACTTTCTCTTGTTTTAACCTCACTGAATATTCACTGTTCTGTGCCAGCAATGTTCCCTGAAGATTCAAGATGGATGTGAGATTCCCTTCTCTGTGTTCTCTTGCTGCTGTTCTCATTTCTTGCTGTAGATTATGACGTATGCGCTGGCGCCCCCTGTGAGCAACAGTGTACTGATAATTTTGGTCGGGTGGTGTGCACCTGTTACCCTGGCTACCGCTATGACCGGGAGCGCCACAGAAAGCGAGAGAAGCCCTACTGTCTGGGTGAGACTTTGTACAACAGCTCATCAATATAAGTCCCCTTTAAAAAACAAGACGATGCCTCGTGTTCTCAAATGTTTAACAGGGGAAAGTCAGTTAGAGGAGACCTGCACTCATTATGTATACTCTACTCTTTCAGGAAAACAGTTATCAGTAGTGGAAGTCAAACTTCTTTAAACAGTATCTAGACTGGCTTGGTCTGGTGATTTCCATTTCAAAACCAAACTTGGCAAAAAGCTTCACTCAACTGCAATAAACTGCAGCACAGTGTTAAATAGGATTGCCTGGTTTCTCCATTCTAGTTCAATGCAATACACTGCTATAAATTAATGTGAGTAACTGTAGACAATTTTACATTTTTAATCCCACAATTCATTCATTGTTGTTAATTGAATGTATTTTTTGACATTATCATGTTATATTTAATCTGAATAGCAACTTTGTTGTTTCTTGATGTTTTCATGTCAGGTTTCTTATGTAGTTTTTTACCCTTTCAGAGTTATTTACTTTCTCTGGATCAACCTACAATGCCTATATAGAGGTTAAAATAATTCATATTCATTCAGTTACAGTCGTCGTATATGTTGAATATTGACTAGATGAGATGAATGCTGCAGCTGTGTAGTACACTGTTCTATCTATAATTTGTGCAAACATGGTGGTAACAGAGTGAAATTGCATAACTTTACTGTCCTTTAAAAACCACAAATTTTCAAAGCAACAACTTTTTATGATGTTTAGAATTAAGAATTTTTTCAACCCTTAAAGATACACTTAATCCTTGTGTTTATGCCACCAGATCTTGAGATACATGGTTTACTTTGGACAGCAGTGATAAAATACTTTGAGTTTAGTTTGCAGATGCTGTTGTGCATTTTAATGGGCTCTATGTTATCTTAACTGACATTTTGTCTTTCTTTCATTTGCTCGCCGTCTCTCCTCTGTCTCTCCCTGTCACTGCAACGTATAGACATCGACGAATGTGCGGACAAAAACACGACTGTGTGTTCTCAGATCTGCGTCAACTCTGTGGGGAGCTACAGGTGTGAGTGTGAGAAAGGCTACTTCCTGGAAGAAGATGGGAAAACATGCACCAAGGGGGAGAGAGGTGAGAGGACATTTTCTCTTTATTCAAGGGCACATCTGACTGTGATGTGGAGCTGACCACACATTGTTATTTGGTGTGTGTGTGTGTGTGTGTGTGTGTGTGTGTGTGTGTGTGTGTGTGTGTGTGGTGTGTGTGTGTAGAGAGAAAAGGGGGTACTGCAAACATAGACACCTGGTAGTCATTACACATCCCAGCTCCTTGTGCATGTCAGAACTGTTCTGTCTCCCAAACATACTGCGGCCCCCATGACTCCTGGTCTGTTCTGATTTGCTGGATGCATTTGAGGAAAACATCACAAATGGTCCAGACAATAATAAAGTCTCTTTTTTTTTTTTTGCCCCAGCTTCAGTTTCCAGTGAAGCGGTCAGAGGCTGTAGATTTGCTACTTCCTCCCATGAGTTTATCTTCCATTACCTACTAAAACATTTCAGGAGAAGCTGGAGAGTGAGAAATGATGGTTCATATAGCCATGCTCCTGCTTTATGTTCTGCCTTGTAACACAGTGGGGAAAATGGTGTCCAGACACTTTCACTCATCCATTAAATATATGCAAGCTCAGAGTAGGGTCCATTCTGCTACAGGCCGAGGACAAGTCTAGCAGAGCTAGTCAGCTTTGTGCTTATCATCATGTTTTTGCTTTTTACAGGATTGTGAAAGTATATTGCTTAAGCTTAATGTTTTAAAGTGGTGGGTGAATACGGGATGGTAGAGTGATGCGGGTGGAGAGTCCGGGGCAGCAGGGATGTGAAGTCTCACAAATGAAAATGATACAGACATGTGACTTGCCTAAATTATGTTAAGTCCGTCAACTAATTAACAAAGTAAAGGGACATTATGGTTTGACTTTTTCTGACCTTGGAAGATTTTTTGAAAGAAAATGTTTTCTGGTGACGTCTATGACAGAAACACTTTTTTTTCTCCAATTCCCAGCAGTGCATCTCTTTGAGGAATCTGACAATGTGATGAATACTGGAACTTGCTCAGCCACCTGTAACGATTTCCAACAGATCAAGATGTCTGTCATGCAGCTTAAACAGAAGGTAAAGGCCACAAAATGATAGCAAAAAGCATGTATACGCATTTCTATATTAAAATATAAGATGGAATCCATTAAATTTACCTGTAATACTGCACTATTTTTTATCTTAAATCATAATCTCGCAACCTGCAATCCTGCAGCTTTTTCTAGTTGTTCTACGGTTGACTGCAGAAAGGCTCCAGTGAGGATAAAACACGCATTCTTGATTTAGATGAATGTAAATATCTGCAGACCTGCTCTTGTTCTTTATTACCACCTAAAGGTCTCGCTTTATCTCCAAGGAGTTCATACCTGACGGTATTTCAGAAACAACAGCAGCCAGATTTTTTTTTATTTTACAACTCTCTTGAGATACATTATAGCATTTTATTAACTCATAAAGAAAAATGCTCAGGAAGTTTCCTTTACTGTAGGTAGTTGATTGTAAGTGTGGGCTGGTGGGCGGTTTGTGTGAAAGCAGTGGTGTAACATTTACCTCTGTGTAATCGCAGGCGTCGGAACCTATCTGAGCACGAGTCTGTCAACAGTGGCACTCAACACCTCTTGACTGTAACACATGATATATTGCTTCCAGCTGTGTGGTTTGGTGCTCCCACAGCTATACTGTATACCCCCTTTTCTTTTTCTTAATGTCAACACATTAAGAAAACACAGTGAAAATACTATATATGCTTATGAAACTTACTACCACATTATTACAGAATAAGATTATATTCTCATTTATTCATATCACAGGAAGGTTAGAGTTTGAATTTAGGATCACACTGCAGTTCAGACACCTGTGCCCAAGGTCACGGGCTCCAGTCTTGCATAATACTTACTGATCAGCAGGTGAACCTGTGTGTGTGTGTGTGTGTGTGTGTGGGTGTGTGTGTGTGTGTGTGTGTGTGTGTGTGTGTGTGTGTGTGTGTGTGTGTGTGTGTCTAAGCATATGCCTGAACGTCTGTGCGCATGAATTCTGATTTGCTGGCCTTTGCAGCATAGCAAGGTCTTTTGCGTGTTTCCCTCTGGGATTGCTACATCCACATGATGTTACACAGAGATCAAAGATAACTTTTTTTCCCAAGGATGCCACTTAGCATACAGGGCAGGAGCTCTCCTGGTCATGCTGAATAATGTAGAGGGGTTTGCCTGGCCCTCCATCTGTCTGGGTTACAGCTTGTAGCATGGTGCAGATGGAAGATCAGCTTTCATCTTTGCCAGGCTACATAATTTTAACATAATTTTACTTGAAGTTGGTCCTTCAGTGTGTAATTTCCCTATCTTGTTTGACAGTGCACACCTTATGAAGCATTGTATGTAAAACAATTATAGAAATGACAATCAAAGGACGATGTTGTGCAGTTATGCATTTGGATGTTTGATATCTTTTCCAAATAAAGGGAAAAAACACTTATCTATAGGTTTCTATGTTGGCTATTTGATATATTGTTAGTTCCATTATTTGTAGTTGCCTTCTTGTTGACATGTTCATTCAGTCATTTTGATCTGCTTCCTTTTTTAAGATGGCCATGCTGTCAAGCAGTGCTGACGTCCCTGAGCAGATGACCAGTGAGAAAATCCTGACGTCCTCCATATTTTTACCAGGGCCTCCAGGTCTCCCTGGCCCTCCAGGTAAAACACATAGAGCTAGAATTAATAAACTGGAGTCAGACTCTGAATAAAGACACTGGCCTGTGTCCAGCAGGGATAGTATAAGAGTCTATAGCAGTGCTAGCAGCCTTTAGACTCTATTTGGCACAGCTGTGCTTTAAGCTAAATGCTAAAGTCAGCTGACAATGACAATGCTAATATCTTGATGTTTAGCAGATATAATGTTCTTAGTTCGGTGTGTTAGCATGCTAATATTTGCTAATTAGCATTAAGAATTATTACCAAGGGAAGAGTCAGGGGGTTATGACAAAATTTCATGGCAATCATAGATGTTAAGATATTTCAGTCAGGACTGACTGAAATATCACATCTGACTCGCATCTCTGAGCCGTACCACTAGCATGGCTATAAAGCATTTAATCTATTCTGCAAACTCTGTGTTGTTTTGCTGTGATAACTTCAGTTATCTCATCAACTAATACCAGTCTGGATTATTTTAGGAGATCCAGGACCAGAGGGCCCTCCAGGATTTCAAGGACTATTGGGGCCCCCTGGCCCTCCTGGTCCCAGGGGCTTGATGGGGCCCATTGGACCCACACCAGATCTGTACCACATCAAACATGGCCCTCGAGGACCGGTGGTCAGTTGATATTTACAGTAATTATGTTTAAAGAGACTCCGCATTTTTTAATTTGTCATATTGCTCATATTTAACAGTGCAGGCTTCTGTATCAGTATGAATGTGTGTGTCTTCTGACTGCTCTGATTAATTTTAGGATACAGTAAACCACGCTCTTATGACCATATTTGCCTTTATTCTCTGTTGGTTCACTTCCACACTTCTGCTTTGTGTCACAAGGCAGAATTAAAAAAAGATTTTACGTGGTTCCGGGTTTAACTCACCAAAGTGATTTGGATAATTTAGTAATCCTGCATCGTGACTCGAGGCCCGGGAGAGCGGTGAATGACTTATCTGTATGAAGCAACCAAGTGTCTCATGTTTCACTTGACACATTTCAAAAGCACACAAAGCACAACCTCTTAAAGTTGCCCTCATCTCTGCAAGGTGAAAAAGGATGACACATGGTAATGGTAATGGCAATAACAACAGAGAGGACTGAATCCTTCCACAGCTTTAGTTGTTTTCTTTGGCTTGCTGTGCTTTTGTGCAGCACTCAGTCTTGCCTGTGAGTGTGAACCCTGCGTGTTGCAGTGTGGGATCTTAATCAAGAATGTGCAGGATGTGGCAAATGAGCCTTTTTTCTTTTTAACTCTTGTATTATGCAATCTCGTTATTGATAAATCAAACCATCGACACCTGCAATCAGTCATATCACAAGTTGCATGATGCCAAACCAAGACATGTGGAACAGTGTTTTTGCACTACAAAACAAACTATTGCTTCTATTGTGTGTTTTAATTCACAGCTCTCTGTATTCAGGCCGTGTTAATACATTTAATCAGCGCACATGCTGGTGAGGTCTGACTAAGAGGGAGTTGTCCTCTCTCCACACAAAACTCTGATTAAATTCTGAGCACAGTTATGAGTTTTGGCAGCCAGGTCACATGTGTTTGACTGCATGTGAGGGTTTCAGAGACGATGAACGTATGTGACTCAGAGGCTTGATACTGATCTGAATATTGGCCCTACTCCTTATACCATGCCGTCACGCCTCTTTAATGATGATTATCCCAGGAAGGAGATCAAAGCACTCTCTACCATCGAGCTGAAGTCGCTCAGAAACGGCCTGGGGGCATGCGCACAGTTAATCTTGGATGATCTGTGCTGGTGGAGCGCGATGAAGATGTCAGTTTTGTGTTCAAAAAAAGATTTAAAGTGAATGTGTCTTCTGAGAAAAGAGTGGATTGAATATTAACACATTTCTGTTTGGGTGCGAGATACATCGCCATGCCGCGTATGTGTGTGTGAGCGTCACCCGGTTGACAGACAAATAGACAATCACATGCTTGTTTACATCTGTGGGCTGTTGCCATATCCAGTCCACCTGACTTTGGAGTGTGAAAGTTGATTGAAACATAAATAAAATGCTTTTTTTTATTTAACAGGGGCATCCAGGAGCACCAGGAAAAGATGGCCTTAAGGTGAGGTCAGGTGCTATTTTGTAATCTTATCTTGTCATAGCTGTGTATTTTTTTTTCTTTTTGATAAGAGGCAAAAGTCTCTTTTTGAATTGCTCTCTGTAGAGCTGGGGTCCAGTGCACTACCCCTCAGGCAGAGGAGTCATAGATGTTGGCAGCAGAATTTGACTCTTGGCTGACTGAGTCCTGTCTCAGAGGAAAGAAACCAAACAAAAGTTGGTGCAGAAAGTTTGAAAGTACCAACTAGATAAATTTGGCTCAACTGCCAACACCATGTCTGTCAAAAGATATTTCTCAATAGCTGAATCGCTTCTCAGCTCCTCCAGATTTGTGCAGAGTGAAAAGAACAAAGCAGGTGCCAGGATACTCACAAATCCTCAGCTGGATGCTGCTCAGGCAGAGTTAGTCCCTGCAGACGATAGGAGTATTTAACTACAAGTTGATACAAGTTGAGAGAGGAAGACTAATGTACCAGACAGTAGTTTTACTGTATGTACAATATGAACACAAGTAGAGCATAGTTAGTTGGTATATGTGTGGCCATGTACAAATAACTACCTGACTGTGGATACCTCTGGCTTATTGCGATTAATTGGAATATCATATGGATTATACAAAGAGAGGCTTTGGATTGGCTACTGGGGCGTAGTAACCGCTTTTCAACAGGGTAACTGGAATGTTTTTCTCTGCTTCTCTCTCCTGGGAGGCCTAAGGCAAAGTGTTAACAAAAAAGAGGCTCCATCAGATGGGAAAGCCTCCGATTAAGGAAGCACAATGCAGAGCCCATCCTGGTTACAGTGAGATTTGTGTTTGCATTTTTCACATTTTTGGCATTCAAACAGATTTTTCTCTCTCACTTTTGTGATATTCAGAGACATGGAAATCAAAGGGCAGCTGAAGTCAGGAGAATACAGTCACATCGTCTCTGCAGATGACGTCTGTTTTGCCCTTTCAGACTTTCTGCAGTGTGCTTTGGAGTCGCTGCAGCTGAGTTTGACATTGGCCCATTCCCATTTAAGATGGGAAGTAAACCAGTCCCAAATAAAGACTTTTAGCTGTTGTTTGACTAATATGAGCCTTATCTAAGACCGTGGCAACAATGACAATAAACAAAGGCCTATTGAAAGTGAGAATTTGAAGCTCTGTGATCCTGCAGGACGTCAGACTTTAGACTGACAGCAGACAGTTGAAGTAGCTTGGGTAGATAATATGTGGCAGACTCAGACATTATCAGAACTAAAAATGATCATTATTAGACAGGAGTCTGGTTTAGATTCTGTAAAAAAAAAATATCTTGGAGGATAAGATTTGCAATCTGTGGCTAGTCATGGCCGATGTATTACAGCATTGCATTCGGAATTATTGTAAGTTTGATCAGTGGAGATTTTGTTATTTGTCATCAAGAATGGTCAGTCATCCATGCCACACTGACTAAAGAGAAGTATGAGGTCTAAAAGCTTGTCTGTTTGCTTAGCTTGCGGATCACGTATGGAACAACTTAGGTGCATCTGCCTTATTGACACAGTACCTCGCTATCCGTTCAGTACAGCTGGGATGTTTGTGTGGATAGATTGGAGGGTGATGGTAATCTGTCTCTCTGAGTTACAAATCCAAACCATCTGCCAAAACACTCACAGCCCCGGTGTGACCCTGAGCCTGGCTAACAACCACAGTAGTCAGGTCAATGTGTGCATGCTACCGTAGGTCAACAGGCTGCCATGAAACTTCATAATCATGCTACACTTACATTATGTTTAGTATTATATGATCAGCACCTTTTTTTTTTTTTGCACATACACATGACGCAGCAAGGATTGGTTTGACATGTTGTTTTGACAACACAAGTTAGGACAGAAGACTGATACCACTTTCATGTCTCTGTGTGTTAACTACTGTATAAAGCAGGAGCAGGGATTCAATTAGCTTAGCTCAGCCTAGCATTAAGACTGGAAGCAGGGGGAAACAGCAAGTGTGGATACACCTACCACCATGACTCATTAACACATTGCATCATGTTTGTTTAATCCAAAGATAAACCAAAATGGAAATGAAAAAACCACAAATTGTGTTTTTACATTTCAGGTTGGTGTGTGGATTAAATACAGAAGATAAAACATGTTTATTAGTGAGATTTTGGTGTGAAGTTTATGTACTTAAGGGACAGACATAACTGTCAGTAAGAAAGCAACACATTCCAAAGATGTCAAACTATTCCTTTAACTGGCTAAGTCACTATACATGTTTCTTTAAAAAAGTTCCCCAACCAGAACATTATGAATTCCTCTCATTCTTTTTTTCCACTGTAAGTCATCTAAACTAAATATTTGTTTTGTTTCCCCAGGGGGACAGAGGAGCTCCTGGGCCTGTCGGACCACCAGTAAGACTCTGGCTATCTATACTGATGCCACACTATTGTAACTTGTTGCTATAATCCAGAACAAAAGTTAAACTAAAGCATGACTGGAAAACAGACCACTGTGGACTCTGGACATTAAACGGCACAGTTAATGATACTGTCAAACTCAAAGTAAATAGTATCCCGTACAGAGTAAGCATTATCATGTTGGATAAACACTGATGGTGCTAATGTCAACAAATCATGAGGAAAAAGTTCATTACTCACTGGCCACTCTTTGTAATTTCATCTTTCCATAACCTTAATTTAATTCATCTAATTATATTTTTAAAAATAGGTTCACTTCCTTATTTGTTTTTGTTCTACTTGACTATCAGGGCCCTCCAGGCTCCTTTGATTTCCTGCTCCTTCTGATGGCTGACATCCGCAACGACATTGCTGACCTGCAGAGCAAGGTGTACGGTCGACCGATGCACTCCCCGGGGGAGGAGTTTGCTGCAGTCCCCGACACCTGGAGAGAAAACCAGGACAGTCTGGATACAGGCTCGGGCGAGGACTACAAGGAACCTCCACCTCGAACAGGAGGAGGGGCCAAGAGGAGTAGGAAGAGGAAACCAGCGAGAGACAGAACAGACTTTGACTGGAATATGTAAAGAGGGTGGATTTAAATACTTTATGTCAGGTGTAAATATTGAAGTGGTTTGCTTTTTTTTTCTTATTTAACTGTTTTTAAACAGAATGTACTGTATGTCTTTGGATCACAGATGTTTATTTTTGTATGATATACAAGATTATGTGTGACTATTTTTTAACAAAATGAGTAGACTGTGCAAATGCATGATTTTTTTAATTTTATATTTTCAGAAACATATGGTTCCTTCACAGCACATTAAACAAGTCTCTCATGAAAGACATTTGTTCCTCCCACTGTATTATTCTGCTTCACAGAAACTATAAGAAAGTGAGCCACCAGATACATAAATGATGAATTGACTGAATGTTGGACTGGAGCATTGAAACTGCATTGGGACTCTGCTGCTGTCTAGTGCTGCAAGTAATGATTATTTTTATATTATAATATTTATATTACACTTTTTCATCACAAGCCAACGGAGCGGACAACAACCTGACTCTGTGCATTTAACTTAATTAGCCTGATCATTTTTTTTTTTTAATTAATTTTGCAAATATGGAAAGGAGTGACTTGCCGGCCACAAAGCAGGCTGGTTATGTCTTATTATTTATTTAAGTCCAGTAAAGACAGTTGTTTTTTTTAACTCAGCTGCTGCATGAAAGTTGCTAATTCAGAGTTTCCACTGTTGGACAAGGGTGTGTTGCTTCCATCAATGAAATGAAATGAAATCTAAAGCACATCTAAACTAAGACAGACGTATTTAAACTAACTTTAAATTCAGTCAACAAAAACTATCCTCTGCTGCATCCAGGCAACAGCTGAGTGGCTTTGTGGATGATACTGTAGTCGTCTGAATTTCTAACATGATTTGATTCTATCCTCCACCAGAGGGAGACCTTCTCAAAGCCAAAGATCCAAAGCACTGACATGTACAAAAGTCCAGGCAACTTTGTTATCAGGGTTTCTGCAGTACCGTAACAATGGGAAATAAATGAATCACTGAGGAAACCCTCACACATTACAATATGCTTAATCAGTATATGAAAAGGATAGATTCCCAGACTCCATTGACTTCTCAGAAGAAAACAGAAACATAACTATTGCAAATGATGGTACAACATCAAATTTAAAGACTGGAATAGCAATGGGCTCTGTAATGGAAAATAGTGTTGGAAACTTGAGATTAATATGTATGTACTATATGTAGGGGAGTTTTCTAAGCCTTAAGACTCAGAACATTTATAAAAGAGTTAGAGACGGTAGATTTATTTGAGTTAGATGGTAACTTTCAGTCCTTCTATTAAGCTTTTATAAACAGTATACAAGCATTTCATGATGGTTTACAACATACTACAATGTAGCTGAAAACAGGACAAGTGTTTATTAATGCACATGTCAGCAATTATAACTTCCTCTATAAGATATACTGTATTTCATGTTATTATGTTTTGGTATTGACATTCACTCTGTGTATACACCAGCCTTCACTGGATGGATGCCCACATGAGAGGTTGATAAACACATAAATACTTAGAATTGTAGGATTTATTAAATGTTTGTATACTGATTACAAATGCTAAAGAGTGTCACATAAAGTGTTAAACCAGCATCACTGAGAAAATGCCTTTCAAGACCAATAGAATTATACATTGTAACATCACACAGTTTCTTGACATTACCCAGAATAACTCGCTCTGGTCGCCTCACTAAAATACTGAGGGCTGTGAAGTCATAGCTGGAAGAGGCTGAACAGCTGCTGGGCCTCTGAACTGAGAATGAGGTTTTGGATGTCGCACAGCCTTTTCTGAAGTCATAGACTTTGTAGTTTCACTCCTCTTTGTTCACCTTTGCCTCTGTTTACCGTAACTTATATTTATCTCTCTCTGTCTTTATTTGGAAGAAGAAAAAGTTGCAGATATGATCTCGGGAGCTTGACCAAAACAAGGTGATGTCACTTTATTTTCATGAATAATGAGACCATGCAATAAAACAAAAAACAGCCCTCTCAAGAAACCTTCAGTCTCATTTATCAGCTCTCAGATTGTAACTGTTTTCTTAAGTATTTCATCAGCCACAACAGAATAAACTGATTCACCACATCTGTTAAGCAAGTGTGGAAAGTTTACTTTCCTTTGATTTTACACATTGTTTTGTCTAGTAATAAAAAAACATTTAAATATGATTATTTTATAGCAGCAACAGGCCGGCATGTGTAGAAAAAAGAGAAAAACATGCTGCAAGGATCATTTTAAATTAGTTTCTACACTGCTTTGCATCAATATTGCCTAATAAAATGCATGCATTATGTGAACCCCATTTTCTTTTAATGAGACTAATTTAGCAGTTTTTCATCCCTCAGTATATTAGACAGTGACAGTCATTCAGTAACCTAAGTCCACTAGGTGGCAGTCATTTGTCAGTCATACACAGTATGCACTGATGTATGACTACACCCCTCTGAATGATGCACAGCACACTGTGTTCAATGAACTCATTAAACTTTGCAGTGTAGTTCACAGAGAAGCACATGACAATAATCAAAACACAATCATGAATAAAAGCTTTGTGGACATGTTCACTCAGCGTGGGTAATGTCTATTTTCTTATTCAAGTTCAGACTTAATATGTGTTTTATATTATCTTATACAATATCTAACATCTTTCCTCTCAAAGATTGGCCCATCTCTGTCAAAGAAATCATTTTAACCATTTTGATTCTTTATCTTCAACTTTTTGCATATTTTTGGAATAACATTAAATAGCAATCAAATAATATCCACAATCTTTTTGTCAACTAAAATTAAACTAAGCATAGAATCTGAATAATTATCAGTATTATCACCATCCCAATCATCATCATTTATGTTATTCACAACAACAACAACAACAACAACAACAACAACACATGCCAAGGCGTCATTTAAAGCAGTCAGAGGCCACCTTCATCAAACATCATTGTTTGCATGTTGTGTATTTGTTTCATAATGAATTAGTTTTCAGAGAATGGTACACGTCATGATTCGCATTTGATTAAAGAGAGACCGAAATTAAAGTCCTGTGCACATCTTTTTAACAAGGTTGTCCCATCCAGAAAAAGAAAAGAAAAAAGCTTGGCAATATATTTCTCCAAAATCCTTTCTGGAAGTAATTAATCACCATAATACAAGGGCCAGCCTTAAAAGATTTCAAATATTTGCTGAAGTGCCCCCTTGTTCCTAATTATATCTCCCTGCTTGTCCCCCTCATTATTTAGAACCACCCACAAAAAGATGCAACACTGAATGGGAACTGTCACACACCCAGCCCCCTTCCAAAGAAAATGTTACATAGCAAATGAATGAGTGAGTTACTGTGCCGCAATAAAGGCCTTAATGAGGTAATTTTATTAGTAGCGGCTGCCCAGAACTGCTGGAAACAGATGGAGGAAACAAACAGAGAGAGGCAGCATACAGAAAATTAGTGTTACCCAATTCATTAATTAATGCATTAGTGTGGGCAGCAAATTAACTGCCCCAAAAATCCCCCATTCAGTGAAGATTATGATGAAAAAAATACATTGTTGCCCTCAAACGTAATTACAAGACAGTGCAAATTCAATTCTAATGAGGCGAAAGGCACCCCCTTAACATGCATCCCCTATTTCCCTCTCTAAAAGGGCTTGCTCTTGAATTGAGGCCTAAGTTTAAGGAAGTACTGAGAGTGAAGGAGACAATAATGAGAGATCGGCCTGGCCCTAAGTGCTTTATATGCTGCAAACAGGTAAAGAGGATTGAATGGCTCTCTTTCTGGGACTCCTGGGGGGCCTGTCTTCCCAGCACAACAACACTTGGCCCTGAGAAAAGGGTCCGCTGAGGAGCCTGGAGAGTGAATGGACCTGTGCTGCAGCGGGTCAGACTGAATGGCCACATGTTCTTCAATGATTACAAACTATGTTTTGCCGACCTGGGCTCCACACATGTACACAAACACACACACACACACACACACACACACACACACACACACACACACATACACACCTATGTGCGGACACACACAGAAACACCCGTAGACGGCCCTCACCCTTCCACCTCTCCCTCTCATTGAGTTATCTTTACTCAGGCTTTGTCTCCTCTAATTGGAGCTGATGAGGGACTAATTGGTAGCTTTTTTTACAACACCCAGTACTTAAGCAATGGCAAGCTGAGGGAGGCAGCATGAGTGGAGTTAATGAGAGGCTTTGCACAAATAAAAGATTTAGTGTGGGCCTGTTTCACAGAATGGGAGAAAAGGAAAGTTGAGGATATCTTTTGTGTCCTCCACATCTTTCACTTATGTGCAGGTATCTGAAAAGAAGAGGGAGTGGCGAAGGGCACACAGTGGTTGCTGAAACGTTGAGCACTTGTGCGCATAAAGGGATCTGTTCTGTATTGTTTGGGGCCCATAGTTTAGTGTGTCTGTTAATAATGAGAAAGGGCTGCTCCTCAAATGAATGTGGCAAAGTCCTTAGTGGACAATAAGTGCCCTCTCTTCCCTGGACCACACTGGACCGTGTTGAAGCAATCTGAAATAAAGGTTTAGTCCTTCTGAATTGTTGAGGGTGAGTATGTGGCCTATGTGCGCAGAATTGAGCCAACAAATAATACAGCAGCAAAGCCAGTCTATATGTTATTGAAAGCTCCAAAATCCTTTGTAGATTATTGTTTCAAAGTATCATTAATCAAATTAAAAAGCTAGTCTTAATTATTAAAAATAGGGCTTGCATGTCTCTTGTTGGGTGCACAACTATCATGTGTGACATCACAGATATACTGCAGGAAAAGCAACTTCATTAGATGGCAATTTAGACTCTGGTCCATCGGTTAGAGATTTGCATCATGGTGGCAAACCTAAGAGCACAGCATGTTCGTTTCCTTAACATGCTGTCATCTCAGCACACATGTTATTCATGTGATAATGCTTTGCTTTGTGCTTTTCAGTTATAAATAAACACCATGAAGCAACAGGCTTCATTTAACTAAGCCACGGTGTCACACCAGGAGGTGGCAAGCCACTCTCCCTTTCCCCCTAATGTGACAAGGGTAATACAAACATCTTTAAATGCCCAATCTTCAGGGACAAGTAGCCTCCTGCACAGCACACATTATTTGTTTTATCTGATTAGGCCAATTGAGAGCCTCTACAATAAACAGATCAAGTGGAGGTGAGGTAGAAAATGTTAAGATATGAGATTCATTAGTGAAAACCAGGAAATAAGTGAAAGAAGAACCAATTACACTACAGTCATGGGTACAGACTGATCAAATAGAGCCTAAATAGATCCAAAAGAACACTATTATTTAGATGTACGTTTAAACATCAACAGTACAGGCTCCAGTAAATACACTCCACCACAAAACTCAGATCAACTCACTGTCAATGCCAAGATACATTTCCTACAGCATCGTGTAATTCGCTGGCCAAATATTTGTGCTGACTCATGTGATAGGCTATTCACAGTCTCAGTGACCCATTAACATCCTACAGGTTCCCATTGTCCACCTCTAAATGGATCCATTAGCATTGCTATTGTTATTTAAATCCTACATTTCCTGACAAAGAGTGTGGTTTAACTTTCTGATGAGGACTTCCCCAGACAAAGGACAGAGGCCTCTATTTTCTCTGCTCCCTAAATCCACTGAAAAACTGTTAGAGTTCATGAGTTTCGAAATGTCGCACAGGAGTTAGCCTCTAATTTATCATTTCATGCAATCCACTCAGAATTTCCAGTGTGCTTCCAGGTGTTGTTGCTGGTTTTGGGGAAGCTTTTAGTGATGTGCCTTAAGACTTTTCTTTTCTGTCATTTTTTACTATCATTGTTTGCTGATGAACCATCCTAATTCCCCCACAGAGATAATATTTACTTTTCAGAGTTGCATAACCTCCTCAGACAGAGATATGTGTCTATACTCACTGAGAGCCTAACTGTACCATTTCAAACACTATATGCAACCAGTTAGACAATAAGCAATGAAGCAACTAGAAACCACATGTACTTGTGTAATTGTGACTGACTGGTTTGTAAAGGTGGAGAAATTACTCAGTGGTTAACATAGCGGCCAACAGACCAGCGCTGTTCATATATGGTGAATGACTACAACGCAAATGTATGGTTTTGATGTGAAATTTAAATTCAAATCAGTCCCAGCCCTTTGCTGATCTTTTGCTGTAATAGTCCAAATCCCCAGATTAGTGTCACCACAGTAGCCTGTTTTGTTCTGTTCTGTTTGTCTTGTTCGTTCTGAACCACTAATCACAGAAAGTGATGCTCCACCTCCATAAGTAATAGGAGGAAGCTGGTGAAAGTAAATAGAAAGCGAGTGGCACATCATTGTGTCATTTCCCCTCACCCACTGAGGCTTTCAGACAGCAGTGAAAGCTCCTGCAGCCGCCACGACTTTGTCACCTAACCTTTCACTGACCTTACACAGGCTTAGGAGCGGGTCCAGAACAACACAGGTGATACAACAACGGACATGACTGGAATCACCATGTGGATTTTGGCTTACTTGATATGTTTGTTGCTTGTTACATTGTTAGAGTTTTGTTGCTACTTCAGCTAATTTGCAGATCAGATAATAAGGCTGTCAGGGGAGGTTCTCCCATATGATGTCTAGGGTCAATCTGTGCAGGATGTACTAATGATAAGGTGTCTAACATCACACACAATGACATTATTTAAAATAAACTATCAAAGACACTTTTGAAATGTGAATAAAAGCAGCAAAATTCACAGAAGACCTGGACCGATACTGATCTCAATAAAACAATACTGACATTTCACCTCCCATTATCGGCCAATATTCCTTTTTCAAACATAAACACATAACATGATCAAACATTTCTAACAAGGATCCCTGAAAATGTATCTGCTTAATGAATTGTGACTACGATACATAATGACAAATGGCGGAAAAATAAACTTTTCATTACTCTCTGATGGAAAAACTACGTGATGCTGACACAGCTTCTAAATTACTGCAAACATATTTTTGGCATTTCTACACTGCAGTTTCTCTTTACTTATGGGCCAACATACACACATACTGCTTCTATAACTGTGATAACAT